CACTCAACAATTTTCAAACATTTGGCACGGGATCCCGAAAAAGTAAATTACCATGGGTCAGTCGACGAAAGCTGGCTTTAACCACGCAACAAGATCAAAAGAAACCCTAAGTCAACGAGTCTGTACCTATCATCTACGCTTGGATAATAGGCTGAAAAAGTTAACGTGGCGCCGAAGGAAATAAGCAAAGGAATGGGATTGCGACAAGCACAAAGTAGACTGAAATGAACATTTCTTGGTTACTCATCATCGTCAGTCAGCCGCCTCCAAACCTGGGTCTGGCTAGGATGACATCTGTAACCGAATTCGTTGCTAATGGTGTTATTTTTAGTCGAACAATACCACTGAAGTTATAGTTTATCATAGCGTTGTTTGCTTACTATGAGTTTCGGTATCATCAGTTGTACTTTCGTCGCACAAGTGTTGCCAATATCAAGTCTTCCCGTAGGCTGTCTTACATTCCTCAAAACGGTGGTAAGAATGGTTAGCTGACAGTGGCTGATTGGTAGGAACTAGTCATGCTAGTATCCACCGTCATGGTCGTCGGGTTTTGTTGCTTTAGTAAAGTTTCTCATGGTATCGTCTACGACCACTCCTAATTGAGTGCTAAGGCGCCAACGGAAGGACATATCGCTTGTCCTAATCACGGCATTTTCACTTACTGATAATAATTTGGAAGTAGATCTTACACCTTAGTAAGTGTAGATAAGGGGGTGTCGTTTTTGCAAAGGAAATTTAAACAACAAAGGTCTACTAGCCGCATGCAAGTTTCCATCTCCCACTCTCCCTCTGCCCAATGATATAACTCTTTCCAACCCTCATTACCGACGAACTCACTCTGTGATTTAAGCTCACTTCCCCTAATTTCCCCTAATCACCGTCATCTTTACCTCAACCACGTTTCCATAAAAATTGTACTGACCTGATAAAATATATCGAAAGCAAATTTATGTTCGTTAATCGAGAAGTCATGTGACCTTTATTTAGGTAGCCATTATAAATATGCTTCGCGCATGAATAAGATATTTTTTTAAAGCCTAACTATATGTTTTGGGGCAATAAAACGCTGCCTAAATGTGATAAAACTTTGATAGTAATATACTAATAACGGCTCTCTACCAAATGAAAAAAGAAAACACAATACAAAAAGCACCGTGATATTTGATTTTTTGGAACTTTGAGATCAGATTTCATGGGAGAACACTAGTAGTTAAAAACCTAGTCCGAAATCAGGATGGAAGGATGTTAAATCAGACTACGGTGGACGGTCCTAATGTCCGGTTGATGTTACAAATCATGCATATCTTAAATCGGTGTTTTGTTTTCGGTTAGTTCGGGATATTTTAACTAGCATGTTCAAAAGCAAAAAAGTTATTATAAATGAAGAAAAAGGGCTCCTTGAATTCGACTCTCTGGTGCATTATTTAGCAGGCTTGCGAATGTTTGTTGGTATGTTTCCTAGATTCTTTGGAAATTTTGTTCTAACGCTGAATGGCTAGTATAAATAAAACGAGCATAATAAGTAATCCCAGGTTAACTTAAATAAAAGTCTGATTATCACTAGACTTCTGAATGCATCGGATTACGGCGGTCATTGAGTTGTCAACAGAACAAAAGAAATAATAGATGAAAATAAGATTATGCTAATTTCAACGACTAACAAGCTCATGACGAAAAGCTGGCTAAAAATCATCACGCACTACGGTTAAGTATTCGTGCAACACGCCGAAATCTGTGAAAGATTGATACTCACTTGCTTTTTGGCATCGGCTAAGATTTAAATATCGATTATTGTGAAGCCTATTCTCACAATCGTAAAAAATGTTATGATTGGAAATTTTTCGAAAATCGAGGAATACGTTTTCTTTAAGTATAAAATTTAAAGGAGGCTTTATTTGCTACCAACTGAGTACAAGAATGAATTTTTGTGCATGTTTTTCATAAGATATATTTGAATTTATAAAGGCAGTCAAAATCAATAATAAAGATGCACATTACCTAAGCAGCCATTTTTTGCAGTACATACTTTTTGTTAGTGGAGAGAAAGAAGCTGGCCACATATCCTGACTGAAATAACTTGAGGATAAGCTACATGATAATCAATATTACAACCTTACTCAATACCGATTAGCGAGTAAGTATCAATCTTTGGCAATCTGTTGGCATGTTGCACGAATTCTGAGCTGGACTGCAAATCAACTTGAACTCAGGGGTTTGCAAATCCTATATATGCCCCTTGTGGTAGCGGTCAGTTTTGCTGCTAATGTACGTATGAACGGCACTGTGCACTCACCTGTATTGCCGATTTGCGTTCTGCCGCGGAGACGGAGGGGTCAGAGAAGAGGCCAAGTGCGGACGCTAGCTCTGTCTCGGTGCGTGACATCCACCTGTCTAAATCGCGTTCCAGTGTCTTCAGTTCGTCTGTGGCTGCAATAATTTTTTCCAGTTGATCCAAACGCTCCTTCACCTGCTGGCCGACAGCATTCCAGTTCTCTCGAACATCCTCGACTAAAAATGAAAAACAAAGGTTTTGGTTGGGCAACTTGTACAGATTAAATGATACAC